CCACTATTTATTTATTTATTTGTTTCTGATTCTTTTGTTTTCTTGTATTTTATTCCTCTAACCCTTGGGGTCCATTTTATTTTGGTATACTTTTTCTAGGTACGTTAGCCTGTGACCACGGAAATTGGCCGAGTCAAGTGATGGATTAGTACGGAGAGATTGAGACAGAAGGAGGTACTGGATAGAGAGACCGGGATGGTTTTTAATGTGAAGACAACAACAACAACAACATCGTGGAAGACCCCATCAATGTGGAACGATTCCTAGTCAGTGTCGATGTTTACACTGCTGTGTCTAACACAGATGATCTGGATTTTTTTTTTTTTGTCTTCACTTCAAATCAGCGCTCACAGCACTGGCGTCTACTCCAACCCGTGGTCTCACAGAAAAGTCCCTCTCTACCTTCCCCTCCTGCGGTACTTTGCCTTCGATTTTTATGCGAGGAGAGTTCAGCACTCTCTTCACACGACGAACTACAGTAGCGCTATCCACTAGGCCAGGAGCGGAAGCAAGAGAAAAACTCTGCGAGAAAAGCTCGCTTGCGCTTATGATTATATTTTGTTTTCTTGTATTTTATCGCTCTGCTGACCCTTGGGGTGGATAGAGAGACCGGGATGGTTTTTAATGTGAAGACAACAACAACAACAACAACAACGCCGGGATCTGAACCCCTGACCTGACCGCTAGAAGGTTTCGATGATGATACCAACTAGACCACCGGGGCGACCGGCTTGGATGAGTTCGGGTGATTGTCAATTGCAATGATGGCTTTGGTTAGGTGTTCTTCATTGTATGTCCACCGACGCATTCTGACAGCACTTCAGACAGCAGCTGCATGCCCCGTGCTTGTGTACCATGCACCATGGTGTAATTACTGTACAGGCAGCTCGCTTACGCCGGGATCTGAACCCCCGACCTGACCGCTAGAAGGTCTCGATGATACTAACTAGACTACCGAGGCGACCGGCTTGGATGGATTCGGGTGATTGTCAATTGTAATGATGGCTTTGGTTGGTTGTTCTTCATTAGACTATATGTCGACGGACGCATTCGGACAGCACTTCAGACAGCTTCATGCCCCGAGCTTGTGTACCATGTACCATGGTGTTATTACTGTACAGACAGCACTAGCAGCAGTACGCTGTATGTAGTCGACAAACATTCATTTTGGTAAAGTGCGGGACAAGGGGGGGTGATGCTGTTGCTCTAGTCGAACATTAGTCTAGTGTGTGGGCGTGTACATAGTTCAGTTGTGAGCACGTAAACGTGCTGCAGGGATTGCACGTGTACCTCCTCGGGCTGATGTACCCTTCTCTTGCTAATATTGTGTGTGTGTTCTTTAGATCTTCTGATGGCTCTAGCATTTTTGTGACCATGAACCGAGTCCTTGCTAGATTTTGGGATCAGCAACTGACACGAGTTTAATGCGTAGAAAACAACAATAGCAACAACTGCTGTGAGAGAATGGTTCGCGCAAAAATGACGATCCACGTACCTCATCGTGGTGACGCGATCGCAGAGGTGGGTGGTGGGTGGGCGGTGATGCAGCGACAGACCCGACCTGGCTCCACAAGGTTCCTCCAAAGAGCCGACTGTTTTCGGCTGGTTGACCTCGCGGGGAGCTCGAACAACGGATGGGAGGACGTGTTGCTGCTGTTGTTACGGCGGGCGGTGTAGGCAGTTTGCTACACTCTACGTACATTTTTATGTTTCTCCCATCGTTGGTCTCTGTCGTCTGCCCACGTACATTTTTTTTTTTCTCCCATCAATGGACGCTGTCGTCTGCCCCTCTGGCCCCTATCCATAGATGATTTTTTATTGACTTGCGGACCCCTCGGGGCCAGTTTATTTGAGTGTACCTTTTAAGGGTAAGTTAGCCTGCGACCACGGGAATCGACCGCGTCGAGTGTTGGATCAGTACGGACATACGAAGGTACTGGGTAGAGAGAGATCGGAACGGTTTTTAATGTGAAGACAA